GGGCTAAAACCACAAAACAATTTACTAGAAAAACAAAAAGGAATTATACATGAGAATGCTCAATTACCTAGCAAATCTATGCCCGAATTGAACTGAACCTGATGTGTTTCTTCTATCACTATCTCTACCTTAGAATTGCTTTGCCCAACGTTGAGTCCACAATGCCTATGTCGAATCTGGAACGATTAGCTACTCCAGAATCCACCAAAGCTTCAAGCTCAAGTTTCCCGGAATCCATCGATGAATATCTCTCTCTTTTTGTGAATAAAAAAACAAAAACAATCTTTAATTTTTGTCAATATGTAGTTCGCTGATCAATCGATCACCTTCTATACATCAAGAAAACTCATATATAAATACCCTTTAATATAGAACACACTATTTTTTTACTCATCTTTGAGAATCTGGACGGGTTTAACCCTAAAACGTGCAAACGACGTACCTTATACTAAACAGAGTAGCGAAAACCGCTCGAGAGGTGAGACTGAAGGTGGTGCTCAAATATTAGCCAATTGCTCGAGCGTAACATTCACCGCTTAAGCGGTAAAATATGATTTCCAGAAGTCCAGAATGCAAGTTGAGATACTGAATGAACTATTTCCCCGCTTGAGCGTATGAAAAACCGCTTGAGTGATTCATTAACTTTGACAACTTCGTTTCGGGGGTGCTGCCCCTTGGAGCTGCCAGCAAAGAGGCAAAACAAGGACTGTTCAAGTCAAGATATGGAACATCAGTACAAACTCCTCTACTCAGACACAATACGGGTTGGATTCGTATTTAAACTCTCATATCCTTACAGATACAAAAAAAAAAAAAACCAATTACAATTGAATGGCATTTTTATCCTATGAGATTGCCAATTACAAAAACCTGATAAATAGAATTTTGGAAATATCACTACAAGAAAAGTGGGCTTATGAGACGGAACTTTTTGCGGCGGCACATTTGCCGTCGCAAAAAATGACTTTTTGCGACGGCACAACTTGCCATCTCAAAAAATGTGACTTTTTGAGACGGCACAACTTGCCGTCGCCAAAAAATGTGACTTTTGGAGACGACACAACTTCCTGTCTCAAAAAATGTGATTTTTTGAGACAGCACAACTTGTCGTCACAAAAAATAGAGTATTTGCGACGGCAGAAATTGCTGTCGCAAAAAAAAAGAGTATTTGCGACGGTACCAGCTGCAGTCGCAAAAAAAAAAAAGAAGAGTTTTTTGCGATTGTAATACGTACCGTTGCAAAAAAAAAAAAAATGTATATATATTGTGGCTTTAAGACGGCTTCATATATATGTAGTCATAAAATGGTTTAAATAAATGCAACGACATTTTTCTGTTACAAAAAAAATTAAAAAATTAAAAACGACATCGTCGTACTCTTTTGAACATTTCTCTTTTTACCCATTTTTTCATCTTTCTATCTCTCTGTCTCTGTCTCTCTTCTCTTTCTCTCTCTCACTCATAACTCTTCTCTGTCTGTCTGTCTGTCTCCTTCTCTATGTGTCTCTGTCTCTCTTGTCTCTCTCTCTCTCTCTCACTCATCACTCTTCTTTGTCTGTCTGTCTCTTTCTTTCTCTCTATGTCTCTGTTTCTCTTCTCTTTCTCTCTTTCACTTATCACTCATCACTCTTTTTTGTCTGTCTGTCTCTCTCTTTCTCTCTGTGTCTCTCGTCCGTCTTTCTTCTCTTTATCTTTCTTCGCTCTCTGTCTCTCTTCTCTTTATCTCTTTCGCTCTCTCGCTCATCTCTCTCTGTCTCTCTCTCGTTTATCTCTCTCTCTCTCTCTCTCTCTCTCTTTTCATCCATTTTTTCATCTTCCTTTCTCTCTCTCACTCATCACTCTTCTCTCTCTGTCTGTCTGTTTATCTGTCTCTCTCTCTCTCTCTATGTCTCTCGCTCATTTATTTCTTCTCTCATCTCTTTTCTCTCTCTGTCTCTTTCGCTCATCTCTCTTCTCTTTATCTCTCTCGCTCATCTCTCATCTCTCTATCTCTCTCACACTTTTAGTTTCCACTTTGTCTCTTTCTCGCTCATCACTTTGTCTCTCTCTCTCTCTCTCTCTCTCTCTCTCTCCTCTATCCGTCTCTCACTCATTTCTCTCTCTCACTACCCATCTCTTCTACCACCTTCACCACTACTACAAAACGCCATTCCACCACCACCACTACTTCCACTGTCGCCACTTCACCTCTACGACTATCATTATTACTACCATCACCACCACTCCACTACCACTACTGCCACTACTACTATCATTACCTCTCTTTCACCCCTGCCACTCCATTTACACTATCACTATCACAACTTCACCACTAATCTCTTTCGCCATCACCATCACCATCATCTCTTATCCACAACCTTCACCACTACTACCGCTCCATTTCCTTTACCACAAAAAATTAGTTCATGATTTTTAGTAACAAAAAAAAAAAAAAAAAAAGGCAGCAGAAAAATGTTTTTCATTGACTATAGAAAATTAACTTTTATTTTAGTGAAAAATATTTTTCATTAAAATATTACCCCTACTTCTACCAAATAAAAAATAATAATATTTTTTTTAATTAAAATAAAAATGAAACAAATAAATTTTCAATCTTAGTAACTAAAAAAAAAGAGAAATTTTTTTTAAAAAAATTCATTAACTACAAAAAAATATATATTTTAACAAAAAATAAAATTTTTTGACGACGGCAACCCCCGTCGCAAAAAAAAAAGAAAAAGAAAAAAGAATTAAAGGACATTATTTTGTTATTTAAATTTCATTTGTGACTAAAAAAAAATTATTTTTATTCCCGCCCCTTTTTTTCCCATTCCCGCTCCCTTTTCCCCCTTCCCCTCCGAACAAAAAATTCCCAATCTCTTCTTACCCCCCTCTCTCTCTCTCTCTCTCTCTCTCTCTCTCTCTCTCGCGAGCGGCGTCGGAGCAGCCCTGTTGTGAGGCCGACTCGTCACTCGATTGTTTGTGAGGCTGCTCCGAATAAGAAGGCCGATTCGGCTGCAAAGAGAGCTCGTCAAGCAGAGAAGAGGCGTGTCTACAACAAAGCTCGGAAATCCGAGGTCAAGACTCGGATGAAGAAGGTATTTTATTTGTGGGTTTGCTTGTTTCTTAATTGTAGACTAAAGTGGTATTTGATTATGTTGAGTTTTACAGGGTTATTTCAGTTTTGAATTCATGTTTAGGCTTCTTGATGATAATGTATTGAATTTGCTTTTGTGTGTGTGTGTGCGTGTGGGTGGGTGGTTGGGGGGGCGCTTGGGGAAGTAGATTATTGGGGGGTTTTGGCTCATTTGCTTTATGCAATTAGAGTGATTGAATAATTGTGCATTTGTTATAATGATGAATTGTAGTTTTGGTGGCTTTCCTTTTGCTAAAAACTTGGATCTTGAATTTATTATAAGGGGAAGGAAAGGTAAGGGAAAAGAAAGGAAAAGGAAATGAAATGAGAGAAGCTAATTTCTTACTTTTGTTTGGTTGGCTGAGAAAATTACAAGAAATTGAATAAGCATGTGTTTGAAAATCCTTTTTTTATTTTTTATTTTTTTAATTTTTAAATTTTATTGCTCGATTAGCTCAGATCTCCTTCTTACATTGCTCGATTAGCTCAGATCTGAGCGGCGTCAGAGCAGCCCTGTTGTGAGGCCGATTATAGATTAGGGTTTTTCATTGCTCGATTAGCTCAGATCTAGCTCTGTTTTTCACTTTCCATACCTTTTTTTTTTTGCTAAATATGTATATGCTCTCTCTCAGTGTTCGTTTCAATGTTGCTTTATGTTGTTATATGGTTTTGGACAAGGGTGTTTCGCTGCCCTTTTGCTTCAATGTCTTGCTTTATCTTCTAAACTCTGATGATATTTTGGTGTTGCCAGGATTTAGTTTAATTAGCTTTGAAGAGCAGATTTCTTTATCCATTAGTGTTGTTGTTCCTATGTTAGCATTTTAGCCAAATCTGCTAATGCATGAACATCTTTATTGTATTTAGAAGTGTGTAGTTAATTGATTAGACAGTGGCATTTTATAACTTATGGGATTGAACTCTATATCTAACAGAATGGATAATTCAATATTTAGTTGGAAAAATGAAAGTTGAACTAATAATTCGGTCGAACTAATAATCTTTCATATTTATCAAATGGATTTAATTGATTTTTACTTAATGCATTTAATTTTTAGTATTGAATTAGGTTGTAAAATATTACCTCAGTTGACATTTGACTCTTGTAATGGAATTAAATGAATAAGAATGAAAATTAGAGTTTTTAATAATAAAAAAGTTAAAGCTTAGGTTAATTAGATTTCACTTAACATTTTAAAATTTAAGTCATGACAACTTGTGAGCACCTGAATTGAATTGAAGAGTTACTACACTCCATCTATACCTTCGCATAGGGCAGAATCAAGGGTGGAATTAGAAATTATACTTAGGAGGGTCCAAGGTAGAAATTTCACTCTCTCTTTGTTCTTTCTATATACATATATACTGGTACTGCTCCATATATATATATATAGTGTTGATTCATTCAATATCTTATATATCTTGTTCATATCTTGATTCATTCAGTTTATAGTGTTGAAAACACAATAAATAGGGGACATTAATTTTGTTAGTGTCTTTTTTTTTTTGTTTTTCTTTTAATTTGAATTGTTAAATTTACGTTTAGTGTTTTGTGAAGGCTGGAGATTGAAAACTTTTGTTATCTTTCTTCTTGTTAGAGTTTAAAACATCAAAAGAAATGGAAGTCAGATCCAAATTATACCAAATCATGGTATGACAGAGGTGCAAAAATTTGTCAGGCTGAAAAGTTTAGGAAGGGTGCTTGCGAAAAGTAAGTGAAAGTTGCTTTCTTTCTCTTTCTTTCTATGTATGGTACATGCATGTGTTCTCTATTCTTTTCATTAATTTTCGCAATGGCTAGTCATTGACACGAAGATGTAATCAATATAGATTTTAGTTGTAGAAGAGTTTCATGTAATCTGCTTGTTTCAGTACCAAGGTTTAAACTATGGAGGTTCTACCCTGCCTTATGGATGAGAACTCTGCCTTAGGGAGGGAAGAAGAGGTATTGGTGGGATGGAGATAGTGTGGCTGGGGTTGGTTGTGGTTAAGTCTTAGCGTATCATTTTGTTTAATACATTGAAAATTTAACCATGCACGGGTGACAATTTAGAAGTAAAAACTATAGAGCTAAGTTCTTAAAAGATATTTGTGTATCTCAGGAGCTCTGTACGACTTTCGAGTCGTACAACGCCACGAAGTTTTTAATTTTTCTTATTCACACACATGTCATATTGAATTTTTCTATTGTTGACCTTCGAGTCGTACACCCCCATAAACCCTTAATTTATCTTATTTTCACACATCATATTGAGTTTTGTTATTGTTTTTTAGTACACATCATGTTCTGTTAGCATCCTAAACAGAATAAATTATTATTTTTCAACATGGTATTAGATTCCAACACATGGATATATAATCATGAATATATATATATATATATATATATTGTATTTGTGTGTATATTCTTCTCATTTGTTTTTGTTCTCTCCAATAAACCAGCCTGGATTTCCATAGATTACTTATAATTCTATTATGCAACTGTTTTGGTTCAAAGCTGAATATTGTTTTTCAATTTAAAGATCGACATAAGAAGAACAAGAAGAATCAAAACCCAATAATTTTTACCTCGAAAGGTATCCCAAAAGTGAAGGAGTATAATGTAAATTTAAATTTGTGTAACATGAACTACATCTAAAATGATGTATTCCGTACATTTTCTAAGTAATTTTCCGAATAATTTTTCAAGGTAACGTATTGTTGTTGAATTTGAAATGTGTTGGATCTATCTCTCAGGAATTAATGGAGGCATGGAACCACCTAAGGAACCACCTGCTGTCAATTTTGCATTTGTCAATGTAAGTTCATATGTTGCATTTTTAATTCTAGTATCTACATGTAATTTCTTTTTTTGAGGAACTATTAATTTATGTGCTATGTAGGTGTGCAATGGAAGTTTGCTAATGAGTTTTGTGTTTTTTGAAGTCTGTGTTGCTTCCTAATGGAACACCAGATGTGCACTTTCGAGTAGCTTGTGGTGGGCAGAAACTTAGGGACATTATGTTGGATTCTAATATTGAATTGTATGGACCATATGTAAGTAAGGCCCCCCTCTCTCTTTTCACATTCTGCAACTACATTAACAAGTTTTGAAAGTGAAGAAAGGCTCAATTGTTTTGTTTTGAAAGTGAAAAAAAAATGATTAATTATACCCACTGTTCCTATAATTTGCCTCTTGTGTCCATTTTGTCTTTGTAGTTCATTATATCAATTTTGCTTGTCAATTTATTCAAAGTGATACACTGAAAGTGCAGTATTTGAGCTAATGAATAGCTGAAATATGGTTTATGTGTTTTGAATTTTCAGTCCAGACCTCTGCTAAATTGTGGGGGAGGAGGAACTTGTGGGACATGCATTGTAGAGGTGAGTTATTGATTTCGAATTTATTATTACTAACCAAGCAGAGTCCTAATCATAATTCTTAAAAAAAAAAAAAAAGCACAAAAATGTAAATGTGTTGCCAAGTAAGATGAATTTGAAACACACATTGATTTTTCTGTGCACGTTTCTATGAAGTTGTGCATGTAGCATTATTACTTATAAAAATGATGTTATTATCATTGACATCATTTGGGTATAGCTTTATAATTGTTGGTGCAATCTCACGTGGAAGGTTAAGAAATGTGACAATGCATCACTTGTGTTGTGATGGTTTTTTATTTTTTATATTCTAAAGATTTTTTCTTTTTTTGTCTTTGTTAGGCCGTTGAAGGGAAGGAGCTACTAAACCCTCGAACAGACAAAGAGAAGGAAAAACTTAAAAGGGTATTTAACAGATCATTTGCAGTCATCTAAATATACCACTAAAAATATATAAAATAAAAAAACCCCTTTAATTCTACGAGTTTGTGATGTTTGTGTCAGTTTACTTGGTTCGGCAAAAAACATGTCTAATGTTTGTGCTAATTGTACACAACTAATTGCAGAATCCAAAAAATTGGAGGCTTGCTTGTCAGACTACGGTTGGAAAACCAGATTCGAGAGGCTTGGTTTGTAGTCCATCGTCTTCCATTTTTAATGAATTATTTGATTTTAAAACTTTAGTCTAAAGTGTATCTTATTTATTTTCTAAGCAAAAAAGATTTTCAAAATTTCACTGGATATTATTATAATTATTTTTATTTTATTTTAAATATAATTGTTGTTTTTGTTCTGTAGGTTGTAATCCAACAACTGCCTGAATGGAAAGGGCATGAATGGAATTATAATAAAGAACCTCCTTCAGAATCAGAACCCTGAGATTCACTCATTCATTCATTTAATTAATGTACTTTCTTTTGTTTTACTAACTATATACTTAAATTTATGTAAATCTTCCTTTTAAGGAAAATGCACACTAACTAAATCTTTGTTTTCTTTTGCATCGGTTATTCTGTCATCGCAAATAGTATTTACAGTAGCTTAAAAGTGGACAAACAAAAATGTTAGACACAAAAATTACTTTTTTTGGGCAGTTCTCTTGTCGCCAAAGTTCTTCAATATTCCATTATTTCTCATCAATTTTAAGGTATTTTGATAATGTATATATAGGGACGGAATCCGAATTTCATCATCAGAAAGGCAAAAAAAAAAAAAAATTTATTATACCATATACACAAGCACATATATCTATCTAATATGATATATAAATTATTTTTTATTTTATTTTATTTTATTATTATTTTTTGGAGACGGTAGCTTACCGTTTCAAATAGGGGTTTTTTGCGACGGCAGTAATGCTGTCGCAAAAGATAGGGCATTTGGTTGAAAATAATGACTTTTAGCGACGGTGTAATTTGCCGTCGCCAAGAGTACTTTAGCGACGGCAACAAGTGCTGTCTCAAATAACCCTTTAGCGACGGTACTTGTGCCGTCGCAAATACCCTTTTTAGCGATGACAAAACAGTGCCGTCTCAAAAAAAGTCAGATTTTCACGCGTTAATGGCGACGGCATTTTTCTGTCGCAAAAAGGCTTCTTTGCCGTCGCAAACCAAAGGCGACGGCGTCATACCGTCGCTAAAGCCCTTTTGCAACCCCCTCTGTTGCGACCCCCCACGTGCCGTCGCAAAAGGCCACTTACCGTCGCAAAAAACCTTTTGAGACGGCGTTTTTGGTATTTTTTGTAGTGTATGTCCCAGTTCAAAATAAAAAATAAAAAACAATTAAAAAAAAAACTTATCGAAATAAGACTCATAATAAATCTCAAGAAGCCTACCATAAGTTGTCATAATCCCATCCATAATAAACATCCATAATAAACATCTCAAATAATAAGAATGGCTTACTGTTTTTATTTTTATTTTATTTATTTATTTATTTTAAGTCTAAAAAGTGAACTGGACTACTTGATCTTAAGTGAATTAATAGGAAACAAAATATACTTTAAAATAATAAAATATATTTCTTACTAAAATATTTTACAAAGAGTATACTTCTCATCAAAAAAAATAAAAATAAATAAATAATAAAATAAAAAAATAAAAAAAAGTAATTCAAAAAAGAAAAAATATTCATAAGGCCTAATGCCTTATATATTATTTAAATTGAATTTTTAAACAATTTCTTTCTCCCTTTTTTTTTTTTTAATTATAAAATGCGATAGTTTCAATTCAAGTGAACTTTTAATAAATAACTAACCGACGCGGTTTATTTATTTATTTATTTATTTTCAATCAATTGGCGACTTCATGTTCTTAGTTAATTACGAAAGTAGCACCGTCACAAAACTTTTTAGTTAGGACTCCGATTATTATTTTATAAATCAACAATATTTCATTCATATATATATATATATATATATTTATTTATTTATTTATTTTTGGTAAATTATCAATAGATGTTAATAGTTAAACTTAATTACCATCAAATTCTATTGAAAATAAGTCATAATAAAATTGTAGCTAAAAATAATTTTTGTGACGATTTTTTTGTATGTCGTTAAAAATTGATAATTAGTGACTTTTTTTTTTGGGTCATGATTATAAATTATCAATGAAACTTATAATTACTGATATTTTTTTTGTGACAATTTAAAAAAAATTGTCACTAACAATTAAAAATTAATGACTTTTTTTTTGTGACACTTTTTTTAAACTATTACTAAAACTTATAACTAGTGACATTTTTTGTGATTAAATTTTCAAACTGTTATTGAAAATTAACAATTAGTGACTTTTTTAATAGTATTTGATGAAAAACACTATTAAGGTTGGTTTGGCATAGACTATATAATCCATCTTTTTATCTTTTTTCTATCGCATCACCTCTCTACTTTTCTGCACATCTTTTCCTAAAAAGACAAAAAGTACACTTTTTTAGGACACCCCAAACCAACCCTAATTATCATAGGACCTATTGGATAATAAGTCCACTTATTAAGACCTACACATAAGTCTTTTTTATTTATTTATTTGTTTTTTATATATTTAAATTCTTCGAATAAGGTTGCAAGACAATCAATGTACGGAGAATTTTAAGAGAATATTGGAGTGTAGATCAACTTTTTAAATTTTATTTGTCATGTCATTCGGGATGTTGGGGAAATAAATTATGTGGATTAATCAATTTTTTTTTTATAAATATTTTAACTTTTATTTTTTAAGGTGAGTAAAAAGTTATGGATAAATTATACTCTGTGTCTTTTATATTTATTTAGGTATTTTCTCACTTTATTTCTTCAAAAAAAATTTCACTTTTTTTTTATCAGCAAAAATAAACTTTAGTGAATAAGAACCAAAGAGAAAACCTTACATCTTACATCAATAAAGATAAAAAAAAAAAAGCAGTGCTAATAGCATCATAGTGAACCTTACTCATCCCAACTACAAAATAATAAAATATATTTCTTACTAAAATATATTTCTTACAAAATATTCATCAAGAAAAAATATTCATAAGGCCTAATGCCTTATATATTATTTAAATTGAATTTTTCAACAATTTCTTTCTCCCTGTTTTTTTTTTTTTTAATTATAAAATGCGATAGTTTCAATTCAAGTGAACTTTTAATAAATAACTAACCGACGCGGTTTATTTATTTATTTATTTATTTTCAATCAATTGGCGACTTTATGTTCTTAGTTAATTACGAAAGTAGCACCGTCACAAAACTTTTTAGTTAGGACTCCGATTATTATTTTATAAATCAGCAATATTTCATTAATATATATATATATATATATTTATTTTTGATAAATTATTGATAGATGTTAATAGTTAAACTTAATTACCATCAAATTCTATTGAAAATAAGTCATAATAAAATTGTAGCTAAAAATAATTTTTGTGACGATTTTTTTGTATGTCGTTAAAAATTGATAATTAGTGACTTTTTTTTTTGGGTCATGATTATAAATTATCAATGAAACTTATAATTACTGATATTTTTTTTGTGACAATTTAAAAAAAATTGTCACTAACAATTAAAAATTAATGACTTTTTTTTTGTGACAATTTTTTTAAACTATTACTAAAACTTATAACTAGTGACATTTTTTGTGATTAAATTTTCAAACTGTTATTGAAAATTAACAATTAGTGACTTTTTTAATAGTATTTAATGAAAAACACTATTATTATCATAGGACCTATTGGATAATAAGTCCACTTATTAAGACCTACACGTAAGTCTTTTTATTTATTTATTTATTTTTATATATTTAAATTCTTTGAATAAGGTTGCAAGACAATCAATGTAAGGAGAATTTTAAGAGAATATTGGAGTGTAGATCAACTTTTTAAATTTTATTTGTCATGTCATTCAGGATGTTGGGGAAATAAATTATGTGGATTAATCAATTTTTTTTTAGAAATATTTTAAATTTTATTTTTTAAGGTGAGTAAAATGTTATGGATAAATTATACTCTGTGTCTTTTATATTTATTTATGTATTTTCTCACTCTATTTCTTCAAGAAAATTTTCACTTTTTTTTTATCAGCAAAAATAAACTTTATTGAATAAGAACCAAAGAGAAAACCTTACATCTTACATCAATAAAGATAAAAAAAAACAGTGCTAATAGCATCATAGTGAACCTTACTCATCCCAACTATGTTGGCACAAGAAAGCCACCCAATCATGTACTATGACATACCAAGAGCTAGTTGATAAGAGCTCAACCAGCAAAAAGAGAAACCAAGACAAAGAATCACAGAAGCACACATCCTCAGAACAACACAACAGCAGCAGAACAACACATAACAGCTCTTAGCAGCAACAACCCAACAGCAGACAGTACAATGATTGAAAAGCCACCCCTGAGAATGGAACTTCACCAAGGAAGCAATATGCAACTAATGGACACACAAATGATCACCCTAGCACACCCCAGCATACCAACACAGCAGCAGCAACAAAACAGAAGCAGACACAGCAAACCATTATACCCGAAGCAAAGAGAAATACATCAACACCAGCACCCACTAGCAGAGCAACACACCAACAGCAGACACAACAAAACCACTATACCTGAATCAAAAAGGTATACAACAGCAGCTACAACTCAAAGCCCCTGTTGGATTCCACATTATACAGCTGATCATTGATTAAACAATCCATCCCTTTCGTGTGATACTTCACCAAAAAGGCAATGTGCAACTTGATGGACTCACAAACTTCACACCAATTAGCCCCTGAACCAACAAATCTAATTTCATTCCTAGCCTTCCACACAAACTACATAACCACAGATGGCAAGGCATCTCACATACTCTGGAGCATTTTCTTAAATTTAAAACCACTCCACCAATCCAAAAGCTGAGTTACATTTTTAGGCACAACCCACACCAAACTCCACCATTTTACCAAGTCAGACCAGATACACCAAGCAAAATGGCAATGAACGAGAACATGACTCACATCTTTAGCACTGGAATTACAAAAGCAACATAAAGAGGGACCACTAGGATCAAGAGCTCCAATATTTTGAAGAAACACAGAAGTTTTGAGTCTGCCTCTCCATGCTAACCAACAGATGAATTGCATTTTAAGAGGAGAGATGCCCTTCCATAGCAAACTAGGCACCGATACACTTGATTTGTCAGTGCAAGAAATCCATTCATAACATGACACACATCTTTAGCACAGGAGTTACAAAAAGAGAGGGACCACTGGGATCAAGAGCTCCAATATTTTGAAGAAACACAGAAGTTTTGAGTCTGCCTCTCTATGCCAACCAACAGATGAATTGCATTTTAAGAGGAGAGATGCCCTTCCATTGCAAACTAGGCACCGATACACTTGATCTGTCAGTGCAAGAAATCCATTCATAAGCTAATTTCATTGAATAAACCCCTGAGGCACCAAAAGTCCACACCAATTTATCCTCAACACCAGATCTTAACACTGGGCCAGAATTAAGCAATTGAATAAGATTAGAGAGACCTACACATTCCTAGGAATAGAGTCTTCTTCTGAAGTTAAACACCCACCCATAAGGGGAAGACCTTTTACTCAAAATATCAAAGACAGAGGCCTCTTTATCCTGTGAGAGCATAAACAGTCTAGGGAAAGCCAACTTTAAATGACCAACACTAGTGCATAAGTCATTCCAAAAAGTGCATCTATTCCCATCTCCTAAATCAATTCTAATATGAGAGTGCAAATATCAAAGAAAATAGGCTTAGATACAACTACTGACAGTATGTCAGTCCATACTCTAGAACCACTGATCTGGGAATTAGTTGAAGGCAACCAAGATTTTGGATCATACTTATAGTTAGTGCAGACAATTTCTTTCCAAAGAGCCTTCTCAACACACCCAAACCTCCACCACCATTTAGCCAGAAGGCACAGATTCACATCCCTAATACTTCTAATACCAAGACTACCATCTCTCAATTCTTTAGTAACTTCAGGCCACTTAACCATATGAACCTTCTTCTTAAGATCAGAAACCCCCATAAAAAGGAAGTCTGAATTCTATCAAGTTCTTTAGCAACTCCTTCAGGTATCTTGAACAAAGATAAATAATAGATGGGAAGATTGCTCAACACAGATTTGATCAGAGATAATCTTCAACCAAAAGATAGATGCCTTCTCTTCCAGCTGGCAAGCTTAACTTTAAACTTCCTAATGACAGGAGCCCATGTTGATTTGAGTCTAGGACTAACACCCAGAGGGAGGCCCAAAAAAGAAATAGGAAGCACACCTTTGGAACAATTAAGAATATCAGCATACTGGTCTAGACTGACCTCTTCTACACCAACTCCAATAACCACACTTTTGCTATAGTTAATCTTGAGACCAGACACAACTTCAAAACATCTTAGCAACCTCTTAATGCAAAGAATTTCCTCTTGATTGGCCTCAGAGAATAAGATGGTGTCATCCGCAAATTGAAGGTGTGATACCTTAATCAATTCATTCCCAATAACAGCCCCATTAAAGAGTCCCAACTCTCTAGCCCTCAAGATCAAAATATTAAGGCCTTCCACAACCAGATTAAATAGAACAGGGGAGAGAGGATCCCCTTGTCTTAAACCACGTTCAGCAATAAACTCATTTGTAGGGCTGCTATTGACTAAGACAAAAATTCTAGCATTAGTAACACACCTTTGAATCTAACTCCTCCATTTGTGGCCAAATTCAAAACTCTCCATCATATTAAGCAAGAAGCTCCAATTTACACAATCATACGCTTTTTCAAAGTCGATTTTAATAATTACACCTTTCTTCTTTTTACACCGCCACCAATCTAACACCTCATTTGCTACAAGCGCCCCATTAAGGATGAATCTCCCCCCCTCAAAAAAAAAAAAAAAACTGACTGGGTAGGCCTAATAATAGAAGGAATAACTAACTTCAGCTTATTAGAAAGCACTTTGGCTAGAATCTTGTACATGGAGCCAATAAGACTAATAGGTCTGTAATCATTGAGGCTACTTGGATTATCACTCTTAGGAATAAGAGCAATAAAAGAAGAAATAAGACCGGAGGCCAGCTTTCCATTAGCAAAAAACTGTTTGAAAAATAACATGATATCCCCTTTCTTAAAATTCCAACACTTCCTAATAGCAAAAGATTAAAACCATCTGACCTAGGGGCCTTATTCCCATCACAGGCCTTCAAAACATGCCACACCTTAGCCTCTGTGAACTCCTTCTCAAGACTAGAAACTTGGGAACTAGCTAAGGTCTGAAAGACACCCCCTATTCTAGGCCTGACCTTCCAAGATTCTGAAAAAGCACTCTTGAAGTGATTCCAGACCTCTATTTTTACTGCTGTTGGTTCATTAACCACCACCCCATTAGCTACCACTGAGTTAATGAGGTTAATATTCTGTCTGCACTTAACCATCAAATGGAAAAACCTTGTGTTCTTATCACCTCTAAGAGCCCAATCTTGTCTGGATTTTTGGAGCCAAAACCACTCAACCCTCTTACTTAATTTCCAAATTAACTCCTTCAACTCAGCTCTTCTGGATCTCTCAACAACCAATAACTCTCTAGACTCAGCTAGCAAGTCCAGCTGATGGAACTCCTCCTCAGTAAGTCTTAGCTGGGATGAAAGGTTACCAAACACAGTTACATTCCACTCCTTAAGATGCTTCTTTAAACGACCCAATTTTTTGAATAACTTATAACTAGCCCCACCGTTCAAACCCTTCTTCAAGCCAAACCTTTTCAGCCATAGGCAGAAAGTCAGAATGGAGAACCCAGCAGTTCATAAACCGGAAGGGTTTAGGACCTCAATCCCTATTGTCCTCCTTCAAAATAAAAGGACAATGATTAGACACAGTCCTAGGTAACCCCCAACATTTAAAATTGAAAACATCAAGCCACTCAGAATCAAATATGAACCTATCAATGCGACTCCATATACCATTTTCCCCGGAATTGCTCCATGTGAACTTTCTCCCTAACATTGGCGGCTCCACCTCCTCAAGATTATCAATGAACTCATTAAAATCGTGCATACCCACACTTCTCCTGGAGCAACCTACTCTTTCACTAATACACCTAATCTCATTGAAATCACCCCTAATGCACCAGGGCTTGGGAAACAATGGTTTGATCCTTTGGTCAGTCCGCTCGAGCGGGCTGTGTTGAGCTCGAGCGGAGATCGCGGGACAGATTCTATAAATTCGCGTATTGGGTCAGATTTTGGGTAGAACTTCTCCAGATCTTCTTTTTGGTTTCTAGGGTTTATATCTGGGGATACTTTGGGAGTTTTTCTTTGATGTTTTTATTGAGTATTCAACTCATGTTCTAAAGAGAGTACATCAAAGGTTGTGTTTTGTTCTACAAAAGAGAGTGTTGTTCTTCAGTTGTGTATTCTGAAGAATTCGAGCCTGAAGCTGTGGTGGAATCCAGAGTGGCTCATCAGAAAGACAATTCCGTGGTGAAGATGGGGTTGGAAGAGGCACATAGAGGTTGGTTCAATTAGGCGTTGTGGATTCGCTAGGTAATTGAGAGTATACCTGTGTAATTCCTTTAATTCTTCTTAGTGGATTGTTCTTGTGGCTGTTGCCCGTGGTTTTTTTATCACAGTTGGAGGTGTCCAATTGTGGTTTTTTCCACGTTAAAATCGTTGTGTCTCTTTGTCTTGATTGTTTGATTGTTTGATTGGGATTGTTATATTCTGCTTTAAATTGATACATAATCACAAATCAACATCTAGGGGATTTCTAGATTTTTCAAGATGCTTCTTTAAACGACCCAATTTTTTAAACAACTTATAACCAGCCCCACTGTTCAAACCCTTCTTCAAGCCAAACCTTTTCAGCCATAGGTAGAAAGTCAGAATGGAGAACCCAACAGTTCATAAACCGGAAGGGTTTAGGACCTCAATCCCTATTGTCCTCCTTCAAAATAATAGGACAATGATCAGACATAGTCCTAGGTAACCCCCAACATTTAAAATTGAAAACATCAAGCCACTCAGAATCAAATATGAACCTGTCAATGCGACTCCATATACCATTTTCCCCGGAATTGCTCCATGTGAACTTTCTCCCTAACATTGGCGGCTCCACCTCCTCAAGATTATCAATGAACTCATTAAAATCGTGCATACCCACACTTCTCCTGGAGCAACCTGCTCTTTCACTTATACACCTAATCTCATTAAAATCACCCCCAATGCACCACGGCTCGGGAAACAATGGTTTGATCCTAACAATCAAATCCCATAATTCTCTTCTCTTGACAACTTCATTAGGAGCATAAAGATTGACTAGCACACCATCAAAATCAGATTTAATTTTACCAGCTACCACAATAAAATTCTTGGAACAACAACTATCCTGAAGCAAAAAGACTCTAGGATTCCAAACACACAAAAGACCAGTAGCAGAGCCAATCGCACCTACTTCCAGAAAGTCAAAGCCATCAAAAGGCCAAATGGATCTCACCATATCAGAATTGATAACTTCTCTCTTAGTTTCTTGAAAAAACACCATGTCTATCTTCTCATCTTTAAGAACTTTCCTAATTTTCCTCCTTTTGACCTCCCTCCCCAAATATTCCAGGACAAAATATGCATAATTGATGATAAGAAAACTCCAGCAAACCCCAAGCACTCAAAAGACTCACCTGCCTTGCTGATTCTTTCTTTGCTCGATCCTTGCCAAATCATTTCACTTTTGCTTTTTATATTTAAAATTTTTTCAATTTATAAGTTAATTTTGTCCAAAATTAGACAGAAAATAATATATTAACAAATATGTGACATAAACATATTTTATTATATATAACTCACACATCTATCACAAACACAAATTCCAATGTAATAAAATATTATTATATCATATGACAATTAACGTGATATATATATAAATATTTTAAAATCTAATTTTGGATAAAAATCAATTTTAAGATTAACTTGAGAAAATTTTGAAATATCAAGAGCAAAAGTGAAAAAAAAAAAAAAAAAAAACAATGATCAAAGAAAAAAAATGGCCAAAACATAAAAGGGACGGAGAATAATTTACCCAAAAAATTTTACTTTCGTACTGAGAAAAGTTAAGTTGTCATTTTATGATTGGAGGAGGATTCCCTCCGGGATTGGCTGGCTTGGTGAGTCCCACAACCAAAATTAGTCCGAAAAGTGAACTGGACTGCTTGATATAAAGTCAATTAATTCTACTGTATAGCCTGCTATGATATGAACTACACACAGGAACTCAAGAAGATTTCTTCATTCCGGATTCAAATGAATGGTTCTTTTGGTGCTTACTTGAGATTCTGAGACTTTCTTCCATACCTCTCTTTCTCAGATCAAAAATTAAAAACACCCATGACTTGCTCTTTTCATTTCCAATACATTCTCATTTTTGTACACCTCTATTATTATTCCATCTTCTATCTGACAATTACCTTGTCTGAAAACTCACCGTATATTCCCTCAGATGACATAGCTCTCAATTGTGGCTCTTCCTCTTCAATCACTCCCCAATACGATGGTCGAAACTGGACCGGTGATATTGGTTCCAAATTCATATCTTCTAACAATCCTGCAGCCACCACCAACTCTACCGCGTTCAAAGCCTCTTTCATGGATCCCTCTGTCCCAGAAATTCCTTACTTGTCTGCTCGTATCTTTCACACTGAATTCACATACAATTTCAATGTCACACCAGGCTCAAAATTCGTCCGCCTTCATTTTTACCCGTCATCTTATATTGGTCTAGAGGACACATCTTATATTGGTCTAGAGGACACATCTAAGTCTTTTGTCACCGTCACTGCTTGCTCTGGCTGCTGCTACACTCTCCTCCGCAACTTCAGTGCTTCTCTCAATGCGGATTACTCCAAGGTACTGACGCAAACCAAATTTAGAAAACAAAATATTTTTATTTTTATTAATTTGAAATTAATATTTGATTAGGAATATTTTAGTGTAGTATGTAATAGTATTAGAATTATTTAGTTTCTTGATTTGAGATTGTTTGATTTTCTTATTTTATTAGTTTTGATTTTATTTCTTGTTTTATTGGTTTATTGTTTTACAAGAATTAAATTTAGGAAAATCATATACAAATCCAATTGTTAGACCCATTTTCTAGAAAATATATGAGAGAGAGAGTTAACTTAGATATTTTAATAGAGTAACGCATCATTGGGCGTAGAAAATGGGAGTAGTTTTTTGGCAAGAATAGCAATACTCTTAGGCCATGTTTGTTTGGGTGGACATGAGCTTGGGATTGGACTAATAATCCAATAAAATTATTAATCCGATGTTTGGTTAAACAATTGAAGTACAGACTAATTATTTTAAACTTGACTATTAGTTAAGATAGGATGCATAATCCAACGGATTCGTAGTCCTAGGACTATTAGTCATGGGAATATTGATCCAGTCCGCCCAAACAAACATGGCCTTAAATTTATTATAAATAATGGTGGTAAGCATTAGGACAAAACAATTTTTGATGATTAATGAATTGTGAGTTGATAAACTAATTTTCTTCAACATTGGGTATTCTTTTGAGAATCAACTATTGTTAAGCCTTTATTCTTGGTATTATTCGTGAATTAAGAAGGATTTTGCTTCCAGTATTTGAATTAATGAATTCTAAGATCCATACCATTTGGTGTTTCTTGCTGGATCAGGTACCATTTCTCATGAAGGAATTTATTGTCTACGTAAATGGACAAGTGCTGGACATAAAATTTTCCTCATCTTCATCAAATTCATCAGAAGAAGCTTATTATGGCTTTGTGAATGGAATTGAGGTTGTTTCAATGCCTCTGAATCTCTATCTTCCAGAGAGGGATGCGCCTGGTCTCCGTGGTCTCAATTTTGTTGGGCAGAAAGACTTGTTCTACGTGGATTGCAATTATTCTATGGAGACATGTTATAGACTGAATATGGCCGGCAATGAGATACCACCCAAGCAGGACACAGGAATGTTTCGTCGTTGGACCAGAGATGATGATTACATATTCGGAGCTGCTACTGGGGATTGGCCTTTCGATTTTAATTTTACGTTGAGGTACCCGCCCGACGTACCACCATACACTGCACCTGAGATGGTCTACAAGACAGGTAGAGCCATGGGGCTGCGTGAAAACGTCAATTTGCTTTACAATCTGAGCTGGATTTTCCCCATTGATTCTGGTTTCTTATACCTTGTTCGGCTGCATTTTTGTGAGGTGGATCGGTGGATGAAAAAAATAAACCAGAGGGTGTTTGACATATTCATCAACAATGAAACAGCCGAATTTGAAGCTGATGTTATTGCTTGGAGCAGCGGGTACATGGCTCCAGTGTACCGAGACTATGTTGTTTTCATTCCAAAAGTAAATAATGGGGAGAAGCAAGACCTGTGGCTAGAGCTACACCCAAACACGAAATCAAAACCTCAGTACTATAACGTCATTTTAAATGGAGCTGAGATCTTCAAATTAAGCAACTATGATGGAAACCTTGCTGGACCTAATCCCCCCAAAAAGATTGTGGCCAGTTTGCCACCAAAGAAACTCAACCCAAAATCATCAAAGAAGATTACCTTGATTATGGTTGGATGTTTTCTTGGCGGGCTGCTAATTTTTCTTATTTTCTCTTTCCTCCTTTATATGATAATTAGAAAGCGAGTGTTTTCATGTTTTTCGTTGCAATTAGACCATTCCAAGTCTGGTCTAAATATAACAATACATGTATCCCCGCTTTGCCATCGCTTTTCCATTAAGGAGATCAAAGCTGCAACTAGTAACTTCGATGAGGCACTAGTCGTTGGCACAGGTGGATTTGGTTGTGTCTACAAGGGTTGCATCAATGGCGAAGCAAAAATGATAGCAGTAAAACGTGGTAATCAGATGGAAGAAAGAAATCTACATGAATTCCAGACAGAGATCATAATGGTCTCTCAGCTTCGACATCACAACCTTGTCTCTCTAATTGGTTACTGCCTGGAAGAAGATGAAATGATCCTCGTGTACGAGTACATGGAAAATGGCACCCTTTATGATCATCTTCATGGCCCGAAATCCCCCCTCACTTGGGAACAACGGTTGAAGATTTGCATTGGAGCTGCAAGGGGACTACACTACATACACAGTGGTTCAAAACACAAAATCATTCATCGGGACATCAAGCCAACCAACATACTACTAGATGAAAATTGGGATGCCAAGGTTTCAGATTTTGGGATATCGAAATTGGGGAATATGGCATCTTCTTGTTCTCATGTCACCACTGAAGTGAAGGGTACTTTAGGATATTTAGACCCTGAGTATTACCAATGCTATAAATTGTCAGAGAAGTCAGATGTTTACTCATTTGGTGTGGTACTGCTAGAGGTGCTTTCTGCGAAGTCGGTAATGAATCCCATGGCAGAAGAGGAAGATGTAAACTTAGTAGAGTGGGTGTCATCTCATCTCCATAATGGTACGGCGGACCAGATTGTAGACACAAGTATGAAAGGAACAATATCAAAAGAGTCATTTGTGAAGTTTTTGGAAATTGCCATGAATTGCTTAGCCAAACATAGTGTAGAGAGGCCGACTATGGGTGAGGTTCTCTGGAACCTAGAGTTGTCTTTGAAACTTCAAACTGGTGTCGAAACAGGTAAAGTTGAAGTACTAAACAACATGGATTTTCACATCGCCACAATGGGCACAGGGAACAACTCAGATGTAACTCCTGGAATTGAGTTCTCTGAGATCGTGATGCCCCTTGGACGTTGATGAAATTGTCTGTAACATTTATGCTTTGCAAATTTGAAGTGTGTTCTCTGAGATCGTGATGCCCCTTGGACGTTGATGAAATTGTCTGTAACATTTATGCTTTGCAAATTTGAAGTGTGTTCTCTGAGATCGTGATGCCCCTTGGACGTTGATGAAATTGTCTGTAACATTTATGCTTTGCAAATTTGAAGTGTGTTCTCTGAGATCGTGATGCCCCTTGGACGTTGATGAAATTGTCTGTAACATTTATGCTTTGCAAATTTGAAGTGTGTTCTCTGAGATCGTGATGCCCCTTGGACGTTGATGAAATTGTCTGTAACATTTATGCTTTGCAAATTTGAAGTGTGTTCTCTGAGATCGTGATGCCCCTTGGACGTTGATGAAATTGTCTGTAACATTTATGCTTTGCAAATTTGAAGTGTGTTCTCTGAGATCGTGATGCCCCTTGGACGTTGATGAAATTGTCTGTAACATTTATGCTTTGCAAATTTGAAGTGTGTTCTCTGAGATCGTGATGCCCCTTGGACGTTGATGAAATTGTCTGTAACATTTATGCTTTGCAAATTTGAAGTGTGTTCTCTGAGATCGTGATGCCCCTTGGACGTTGATGAAATTGTCTGTAACATTTATGCTTTGCAAATTTGAAGTGTGTTCTCTGAGATCGTGATGCCCCTTGGACGTTGATGAAATTGTCTGTAACATTTATGCTTTGCAAATTTGAAGTGTGTTCTCTGAGATCGTGATGCCCCTTGGACGTTGATGAAATTGTCTGTAACATTTATGCTTTGCAAATTTGAAGTGTGTTCTCTGAGATCGTGATGCCTTGTGACAATGCAATTTCGTCTCTAAAGTTTCGTTACAAAATGTCAAGTTTTGTTGCTAAAACTAAACATTGGCCAATTTAATATCAAAGTGGTATTTATGAAATGACACGACACATCCAGAATAGCATTACATTGCATATGGAGTGTGCCATTAGCAGGCAAACTTGAACCATTTGTTTGTTTTTTTTTGTTTTTTTGTTTTTGTTTTTTTGTTTTTGTTTTTGGGAGTTTTTATGGGTGAAAACTTGAAAGTGGAGTTTGGAGATTTTGGGAGGCAAAAATAAGTTGAAAAAGGGTATTTAAATCTCCTTCAAGCAAAGCAATCTTTTTTTGGTCATAGAAAGATGATAATTTTTTATCTAGTTATTGGAGCACCGTAAAGGTTTCCACATTGGCCAAATAATGTGCCTATAAGGGTAAAATAAAATTTGTCCAAAATGATGTGATTGTCTTGGATTTTATCATTCTAAAAATAAAAACCTATAAAAAAATTTATACTTTTAGAAATAGACCATTATCACATCATTTTGGTATGAAATTTTATACAAATTGTTTGTTTGTAGCTCATTTTCTAATCAATAATTTACAAGTGCTCATATTTTGTTTACCATCCAAAGTATTAGCACTTTATTGATAATAAATATGATCGATAAAATTTATAAGATTATAAACAAAACATAATTGGTATGTCATGAACTAATCTTCCCAAACCCTATTAAATTGCTATAGATAACAAGTATGGGTATTGTATCCACAAAAACTAATGTGTATTTAAAAACTATTTTAATTATTAATTTCTCAATTAGTTTAGTTGATAGTTGATTGTTTGTTCTCAAAAGTAATTATAAAACCCTAATTGAAAAAACAATAATATGATAATGAGTTAATTAAGATTGGGAACTTAAGGGTTCGAATCCATCACTAGTTTTGTACCTGGAATTGCAAACTTGATTTATGCAATGAATAGGTGAAATGAGCCAATTCCTCAACTACAAGTTGATAATTGGAGAGAAAGATAAAGTTGTCTTCAAAGTGCGAGCATGCACTAACTCAACTGGTAAAGATTGTCCACTTTAAACTAGAATTCGTGGCACAATCCGTGTAGTCATAGTATAGCCCGTCTCGGGTTTCGAATACAACACAATGAAAACCAAGTAAAACATTGGTTGCGTTTGGTAGAATTTTAAAATTATGATTTGAGAATAGAGTTGTATTTTGAGTTTGTGAGTTTTGGAATTATGATTTGAGTGTAAAAAATTTGTTTGGTTATGAATTTTAAAAAGAGTTTAAATTGAGTGATGTGACATATAATATTGAAAAATGGATGTTTTGAAAAGTATTTTGATAAGTGGGTATGGAATTAATTTTCTAAAACTATAACCAAACAATACACTCAAAGTAAGGGGTAGAATTAAACTTTAAAAACTCTACCAAACAGATTCTCAATCATAGAAATTGAATGAAGAATAATCATAGAATAATATTGAATTAAAACTCAAAAGTTCTACAAAAATCTCACTCAAAAATTACAAAATCAAATACTACAACTCTAGTTACTTGGCTAGGGTTTCATCAAAACCCTAAGAGAGATGCTCAACCACTCATAGACACTACAAGAATTTACACATTTGGCGACCACTTTTGTCGACCAAAAAAAATTGTCACAAAAAAATGACATTTGCCGACCAAAATATTAATTCGTTGTGAATGATCATTATTTTTGGCAACCAAAATGAGTTGGTCGCAGAAGGTCACATTTTGGCGACCAAAAATGAGTTAGTCACAGAAATTGGTATGTTTTTGACGACCAACTATAAATTTGGTCGCGGAAGGTTACATTTTGGCGACCAAAAAAATTTAGTTGCCAAATTAATACTTTTAGCGACTAATATTTTAGTGGCCGTTGATTGAGATTTGGCAACTAAAAAAGTTTGTCGGCGAAAGTACCTTTTCTGCGACTAATCTGGTCATTTGGTAGCGAAAAGTTTGGGAGGGCAATTTGAAACATGGAGGGGGAAATAAAAATTTTTTGCGACAAAACAAAATTTGGTCGCCATTTATAAAACGACGTCGTTTTGTACCCACTCTCTCTAAAAATTTGGTCGCCATTTATAAAATTTGGTTGCCATTTCTAATCCCGTCTCTCCTCTCTATCTCCAGCTCGCTCTCTGTGTCTCTTTATATGTTGATCCGCCCTCTCTCTCTCTCTCTCTCTCTCTCTCTGTATTCTCTCTCTCAATTGGTGCCCACTCTCTCTAGCTCACCGAAGTCCCTCACCACCATTGCTCACGTCCGTCGCGCATCGCCATCGCCATCGCCATCGCCCTCTGTCTAATGGACTCCTCATTTCTATGGGATCCTCACCCAATCTCACCTCATCGCTGACCAGCGTCGTACGCCATTGCTAGCGCCACCGCCACCGCTGCTGCCGCATCCTCACAGGTTCTCTCTCACTTTCGGTCTGTCTGTCTGTCTGTCTCTGTTTCTCGCTCCCTCCCTCTCTAGCCTTTGCCCTCGGTCTCTCTCTCTCTCTCTCTCTATATATATATATAATTTGGGGGCTATGGAAGTAGAGAGGATTGAGGTCATAAAGCAAACCTGTGTTGTGATGGATGTAATGTGGATTTATTGATTTGCCATCTAATTTCACCTATATAATCTCAGTCAACTGCTGGCCCTCGGTTTCTGGAACTGGAACTTACGTCAGTATCGAGTATGAAGCTTCATCAACATTTGATTTGCAGAATGTTGTGATTTCAGTACCTTTTCCAGCTCTTAGAGAGGCACCAAATGTAAAGCAGAATGATGGTGAATGGAGGTGAATTCTTAATTTATATTGTTATTAAATCTTATGTTCATACAGTTTTAGGTCATTATTGTTTGAGAGCTGAGCAATTATTTGATGGAGTCTTGGATTGTGAGTTATAGTTGAGATCAATTTTAGGAGAAATGGATGTTGGGTTGATTAGAACGGCATGGTAAAAGCTATATCCTCCAAAATATAATTGCATTTTGTAGGAAAGACTATTTTTATTTATTTATTTATTTGGAAGTCATGATTGTTTTGCATTGATATGCTTTTCACATCATTTGTCTCTGTTTAGCAGTATGAGAGAAGGCAAAATGTGAAAAATATTGGGACCACTTACTGTTTTTCTTTTTCCCCCAAAATTTGAAAAATGTGTTATACATTTTTGATGTTTCATCTATACCACTTCCAAATGGTTTTAAAATGACGTTTTAGGAAATGGAATTGATGTACCAGCTTATCAAGATCTTGTTATGTAACTTCTTAAAATTATAGCTTGATATTCCCACAATAATTACTGCAAAAACCTCATATAGCTGCTTTGATTACTCCCTTTTTTGATTTCACTTTCAACAGACTTTTTAGAAGGTACACAGTTTAATGATTTGCTCACCAATAAATGGGTTTTGTTCCACTTCTCTTGTTCAATGGAGTTGGGTTTACAATACCTGTATGTTTTCTCACAGGTATGATTCCAGAAATTCCATTTTACAGTGGTCCATACTTCTCATTGATAACTCAAACCGCAGGTCAGCATATGATGATGTTTCTTTTATTTAAAAACTAAAATTTATTGTGCATTCTACAATTTGTAGTGCTTTGGTTTCTAACTTCATTTTGGAACACTTGGCAGTGGATCTATGGAGTTTGTTGTCCCTCCAGTAGATGCATCAGTCTTTTTCCCGATTTCTGTGCGTTTTACTGCTGCAAGCACATTCAGTGAACTAAAGGTTTACTTTTCTTTTTCCATTTACAGTTGATTCATTCAATTTCTCAGCCAATAATAATGGTGCTGGTGTTGTACTTAATTTTGGTTGACATTTATATGCATCTATAATGTCTGCAGCATAGAAAAGGTTTACTTCTGTTTTTCCATTTATAGTTGCTTTGTTCAATTTTTTCAGCCAATAATAATGGTGTTTGTGTTGTACTTAATTTTGGTTGACATTTATATGCATCTATAACGTTTGCAACATAGACTTTTAATAAGAATGAAATACACCTTTCTTGAATGGTGAACTTGTATTAGAGTAGATCAGAAGGTAGCTGCAAAGTTGCACTAATTTAAAGCGAAGAACTCTTTAAATGTTTATTTTGGTTTATGATTTCAATTGATGAGTTTCATTTTGCATGAAACTGGTTCAAATTTCCAACTCATCCGAAAATGGTAGTCAGCAGAAATTGGAGAAATTGTCTTGTTTGCCATTATATGACAGACCTACAACATGCCTGGAATAGGGATTATGCGATTGTTTTGCTTTTGATAGATCTTGAAACCTTTCTGATATAGGGTATATACGTGCTCAGTAATGTGGCATTTGGGAATGAATTCCACAAGGAAGCAGTCATGGACCAACTTTTCCCACAAATAGGTGACAACATCCAATCAATTATGATCAAGCTTTTGCAGAGTAATGACAGCAGGTTACGCACAGCTTGTGTCTGGACTGTCCTAAATCTCACCTTTCCAAGTAGTCCCGCTGCACACAGTCGGGTTGCAAAATTACAGAATGCCTGCATAACTTCTCAATTAAAGGATATGGTCAATGATCCTTGCCTCGACGTAAAAGTGGTGATTTTTACTTATCTTATTTCAAACGGTTTTTTACTTCTTCAACTCATTAGCTGAAATTATATGATTCTTTCCAATTAATGCATATATGGTCATTTGGTTAGATAGTATAATTGTGAAACTACGAAAATGAGCTTCATAAAGAATTATACTAGACTGTTATTAGAAGGTCCTTTATCTCAACTGTCCTCATGTCCCATACATATCATCTCTCTATAATACAATAGGTCTTATAGATCTAAACATGATTTTTTTATATTTTTTGAAAAGAAAGATTAGATTAAACACATTCATTTCTCTTCATTCACCTAGTAAGATTAGATTTCTCTGACATGTGATGTGATGAAAATTGATTGTTATATTGCATAATTTGGTGCGTGTCTACTCTTAAGCAGGTCAGACACTGTTTGAGGTAAGTCAAGCTTTGCTGAAAGTGCAGGCTGGTTGCTGGTGTGTTGAAAGGGTCTGAGAGCTGCTGGTGCTTTGTTTACTGGTTGTGTTGAGTGTACTTATGATCTCCTTTTGTTTGTTGGTAGTTGTTGTTTGTAGATTTTTCTGGTTTTGGTTGTGCTGTTTGGTTGGTGACTCTCCAACCTTGGCAGTGTGCTAGCAAATGATTGGGCTCGTATGGTGGTGCCAACCTAGTCAGGATTGCTATATCGGGCTGTGATGCCTCGATAAAGATTCTTTTTAGTTGTTATAATCAATAAAGATTCTTTTGCTGATCCAAAAAAAGAAGAAAAAGAAATCATTTATTTTTCTGACTCTTTGGAGGTGGAATGCCCTGCTTTGATCTCAATACTTGCAACACTTGCTCACTAGATCTGTTTGTGTATTTACATGTGTATTGATGTATTTGGGCTTCTTTCTCATTGGTTCTCTCTGTTGGTAATTTAGTTGACTGACAAATGTTTTCCAGGTCAATCTGAGAACCCTGAAGTTAATGCAGAAAGGTCAAATGCTCAGCTTGGCACAGGAGTTGGTATGGGAAATTAGACGATGAACATGAGGTGGTTTTTGGCCTTTCTTTCCTACAGCAGGTACTACCATTTTGCTTTTTCTTTCACGAGTTTATTAGATTGATAAAATTTGAATTTTAACATATTAATTCTTTGCTGTCGTGCCTAATTTAGGAATCCTAGTCTCTTGGTTGCTAGGTTTCTTTTTCTTTTAAATAAAGTTTTCTTTTCTTTTCTTTTATTTTTCTTTGTTAATTTAGTAATACTTTTTCTATTATTACTGATATTGCTGGTATTTCCTGGGTTATTTTTTTTCTTGCATGTTAACACATTTGTGATGATATCAGGGTACTAGTATATCTCTGATCTTTTTGGCCTTTATTCTTTTATATTGTATATAAAGAATATTTTGGAAAGGGTTAAACAATCTGAGGTTGTTTGCTTGGCTTGAGGATGATTTGATTAAGTACCAGGAAACTCCTAAGGTGACGTTTCTTACTTAGAAACTCAATTTAACGGTGCTAAGTAAAAGAGAAACCTGCTCCCGTAGAGGAATAAACTCAGCCCAACTGTGATAGAACTGTCAAACATACAGATCTCAAAGAAACAAAAGAATAGTTGGTAATTTAGTGTGTAGTTCAAAATTTGATCTCTAGCATTTTTGTATATTTATACTTAATTTTTGTTGGAGTATATTTGAATAAATATAGTTTCGTGCAACTAATATTTGATCCGTCTTCCACTTTCATGAGCACACATATCCTGTATCTAATAGGCACGGTATATTGACTTCACTTGACAAAAAGCTTCAAATTTCAACGCCCTTGCAGGAAACTATTCCTTCTTTGGAAACAAATTCAAATGAGAGTCATATTGATCAGCTTAGAAGTGGTGGAGAATGCTCAAGCCCTTTAGATGGACCAATCAAAAGTGGATCATCAATTTCTGCTATCTGTACTAGTTCAAAGCCTGATTTTTCAAAGTTAAAGGGTGAAATATGTTTGGACAACCTATTAGTTAGGGAACTTCATGAAACCTTTAAAGCAACATTTGGACGGGAAACTTCTGTCAAGGACAAACAGTGGCTGAGGAGGAGGATTGCCATGGGATTGGCCAACTCTTGTGATGTTCCAACTACAACTTTTGTGATTAAAGATAACAAAGTGGTGAAGAAAGGTAAAGAAGAAAGCTTTAAGAGTGTAGATCATACCCCTGCTAAGGTTCTGTCAGTTGGAGTGAATGAAAACTGTGGAGGTTCACCAATTGGATGAAATAACCAAATAGAAAATCCTCAATATCTTTGTGGCAAGATATTGACAGATCCTAGTTTAGAATATGATTGTAGTGTTGAAGATTTGAACACTGAACAGAGAGCAGCAAAAAGAGTTCGGAATGCGACAGGTGGGCAATGCCATTATGGTGGGATGGTGGGAGGATGAAGAAAAAGGAGAGGAAAATTTGGAAGGTTGTATCTCTGAATAGTTGCTGACTTTAATTAAACAGGTTCAGAAATGGTTGATATATGTATTTTGTTGAATGTTCATGATTCAATTTATTTGTTGGTTTGAATGATTTTTGCAAATTACAGATTATGTTGAATAAATTGAATGGATTATTATAAATTACAGGTTTATTTTGTTGGATGTTGGCGACCAAATTTTGGTTTTGCTTTTCTAGTTTTGGCGACCAATTGATTAGTCGGGAAAGATAAGTTATACTTTTGCCGACTAAATAAAGTAGTCGGTGTATCACCAAGCACATTTGGCGACTAAATAATTAGTCGTTAAAATTATTAATTTTGGCAATCAAAGGATTTGGTCGCGAATAGGTCTATTGCCGACTAAAGTTTTAGTTGCGCAAACATTTCTTTTGGTCGCGAAATGTGACAAATGGCGACCAAATAATTTGGTCGCAGAATGTGACAATTAGCGACTAAAATTTTTGGTCGTGGAATGTCACAATTGCCGACCAAAATTTTTTAGTCGTGGAATGTCACAATTGGCGACCAAAGTTTTTGGTTGTTGAATGTGATAATTGACGACTGTGGACGTCCCCCGAACGCCCCGGGAGGGTTAAGTCCCGTTCCGTTCATTTGGGGTTACCACAGTTCGGACTCGATTTGTGTCACGGTTCTTAATCTGAACCAAAGAGTCCAAATCTGGCAAATCGTTTTGAGAAACAGATTTTTGAAAAAAGTAGTGCCAAACATGGACTGCTTTGCCAGATACAGAGTCGCCACCTAAATATTTTTTAATGGGGGAATTTAGGAAACCCTGACTCGGTGCCGAAGGCCACATATCCGTCATCACCGGAGTTGTCTCGGCTCGGGAGCTTGGGTACGATCGGGGAAGGTCAGCTATGAGCACCCCCTTTCGCCCGGTCCGAAGACCGGCCTCTACTAACCGTGATATCCGTTTTTGAAAACTTTGCGTGTTCTTAAACCGATTGTTAGCCTAGAATTACTATGTTATGCGCGCAGCAAACAAGTATAGACCAAATCGCCCAAATTGGAATAAAAACATTTCACACTTATTTTGAAAATGGTTTGCTACTCGTAAGTAGGCTAAAATACAGATTTTGCAACCCTCAAGTGGGTTTTTGGAAAAGACGGTTTTGCCACTATCTAGTGGGCTTAAAACAAATATCGTTTTAACGCATTATCCCAATTTAAGCAATTTGACCTCCACCCACAGGCATTCAGGCAATTTATCCGCATGGCAAACATACTATTATGGCAACATTCACACGCATGTTGGATGCTAAAGCATAACCACTTACATTGTACTCCGTGCCAAAACAATAAACTAGTTAGCAAATGTGCATGTCCTAGTTCATGTCATTTTGCCTAATGCAACACATACAAGATGCAATTTTAGTTAGGCTCGGTTAACCTAAATATGGCATACGATATGCAATCAACTGATTCATGTATTCAATTTTGGAATTTGAAAATACGAATGCGGTTAGCATGATGTACCGAGCCCGGTGCATGTCAACAAATGCATGAATGCACGCATGCATAGCATAAGGCATGCTAAATTAAACGTGCCCTAATCTACCATCATAAGCAGGTAAATAAAAGGGAAGAAAGAAATGGGGATTGGAAGACATACACACACTCACCCACACTTATTACATGTTTACCCTCACTCAGAGGGTCCGAATTAATATTACAGTCCCAAATAATAGACAAATAAAATTATTACAAAGATTTCTAATTTAATTTAAAGGAAAGGTGGCGAAGGAAAGAAAAGGGTAGCCGCAGCCTCTGCCTCGGGATGCGCGAATGATGCGTGCTCGAATCCGTCTCGTCTGGAAAACCCGTACTGTACTCCTGCCTCCTCTGTTTGTACTGCCTTGTCTTTCTGAAAATTGCCAAAGCACTGGAGCAAGTTCTTTGCATCCTGCAGAGCACCACCGGCCGGACAGAATTACCACCGGCACTTCACAATTACCATCGGCATTTTATTGGATTCATCGGCACTCAGGATAGTGCCGGTCGGCACTAAATTCTGCGGGTCGGCAGAAACTTCCTGCAGAAGACAATTTGACAGCAAACAGAGAACAGACAGTGCATGGCATGGAGTTCTTGGACACATGTAAGCATGGTCATACTTCTTATCATATTTTGAACTCAAAGAAGCATGACCTTCGATCTTTGAGCCATCAATGGTGCATGATGGCTCAAGGGATCAAATTTGCCACTTAATGTAAGGATGTATGCAACAAACAAAATGAAAACCGAGGCCTTATCAAGTTGGAGTCAAAGGTCCCGATGACCGGGAATCGAGGCACATTACATCACTTGAAGTATGAATGGTCCTTGATTCCCGCACTTGGTTTGACACCCCAAACCGAGTAAATGCAATGCATGTTATGCTCATAAGGCTCAAATGCACTATGCCACCAAGATGTAAAGCACAACAAGCATTATGCAACCAACATGACAAAATGTATGATGCCAAGCATACAAGGTACAAACATGATGCAAATATGGACCAATTTGACCATGGGATTGACATGCTACAAGGCTTAATGGAATAACCATGCAACAAACATGAAGCAAGCATGTAAGAGGGCCTAAAAGTGATAAAGGTGCAGACCTTTATTCTCCTCTAAACAGCACTAAAAATGCTCAAAATGATAGACAATCAACTCATGTGAACAAGCAAACTTATGGTCCCAAAGTTAAGGCACAAAAGGGGACAACTTTCCCCCACCAACATGACCTCTCATGGCATGATCAAAGCAAGTAAAAAAAGAATTTTTGCATGCAAAATAGGACCCCAAAAACTGCTAATATGGCAGCTAAAATATCTCCCATGAAGCATATGCACTAAGGCTTATTCCTAGGCATAAGAGGACACACCCTCAAGGCATGAAAGAGGCCATGCATGCACACATACAAGCATGATTCTTGGACTAAAATGTGGTCCTTAGATGATGTTAAATCATGAGGGTAATCACAAACATACATGCTAGGAGTCAATATGCTCAAAGCTTTCAAGCCAAAATACAAGGTAACCCTAACAAACATGTCAAGCATGATCAAATGGATAACCACCAAACTTTAAGCATAGGAAAACAATACTAAAGCTTCATGGGACCAAGCCAACATACACAAGAATCATGGCCTAATCATGATATGTACTTCTAAGCAAAGTAGAGCAATACAAAGCAAGTATTACAAGCATGCAAGGAGGCATAAATCCGGCCAAAAACAGAGGTTGCATATGACCTAAAATACCCAAAAAAAATCTGAAATGAGGCCAAGGATCATCAAGCACACATGCTACCCTTTTGAGCTCAATAAGCAAGGAAACAAACCATGAAGGGAGAGGGGTGTCCCTCCCCTATGCAAGACTTCAAACCATCCTTTTTGACACTAAAATACACTGATTTTCAGTGGTCAAAAGACCAAAACACTGAAGTGAACAAAACCTTATGAAAGGAGCACCAAAATGGATCAAACAAGGCTTAGAAGGGGGAGTTTGCACTCAAACCACAAAATGACCTTAATGAAAGTGCTAAAGCAGGAAAATACAAGCCCTTTTTATGCTATACACAAGAGCTAAAACAGCAAGCTAGATAGGTAAAAAACTATTGCAAGTTTGGGGAATAAAAAGCAAGATGCTCACCCTTGAAGAACCCTTGAAGAACAAATGGTCTAGCCCTCCTCTTTTGATCAAAACCAGTCCAAAAACTCAAGAAACAACCCCCCAAGTCCCTCAATCTCGAAATAAGGTGTAATGGTGTGTGTAATGGTGCAAAAGTAAGGTAAAAACCACCTTTTGAGCTAAGAAACACACACAAAGGAGGAAAGAGGAGGAGGTATAGAGATAATATGTATCTATATCTCAAAGGTCTGGTTTTTGGTTGAGAGGAGAGCCTTCCTCTTATAGGACTCCCTCTTGCAAAGCTTATACAACAAGCTTGGCTAGAGGGAGATCCCTCCATACACGTGTATGGAGGGGAGAAGAGTTGGTGCCAGCTATCACAGCTGGCACAAAATATCTCCATAAAGTGGATGAACAGTGGTCGGCTGCCCAAAAATGCTATTTCGGCAAAAAACAGTGCCGACCGGCAACATATTATGCCGACCGGCAATAAAGTGTGCCGACCGGCAAACAAAAGTGCCGATGGAAGAGAAAGACCATCCGGTGGCCTCCAGCCACTGCCGGTGGTGTGTGGGGATGCCTCATAAGGCATTCCCTGCCCTTTCAAGGCAAAACACAAGTGTTCGGTGCAAAACCAGACACTAGACGGTCAAGTTCGGGGATCCTGAAGCAAGGCGCGCGAGCCGAGACTTCCGGGAACTCCAAACGAACACAAACATGGATAATCACCGAGTGTTCAAACGGTGACGTCCAGGTCTTGAGGACGGTCAAAAATGGGGTGTCTACAACGACCAAACTTTTTGGTCGCGAAATGTGTCAATTGGCAACTAAGATATTTGGTCGGGAAAATATCACTTTTCGCGACGAAAGTGTTTTAGCGACTAAATGAATTAGTCGCGGTAATGATATATTTAGCGACCAAAAATTTAGTCGGCAAATCCGACTTTTCCCGACCAACCAAAATTTTGGTCGCGAATTACTTTTGTTGACCCTCAATTGGCGACCAAAGTAGCGACCAAAAAAATTGGTCGCGGATAACTTTTTCCGACCAAAAATAGGCTTTTAACGACTAATTTTTTGGTCGGCAAAAGTGTTAATTCTTGTAGTAAGAGATGGGAGAAGATGAGATGATGATGGTAGCGATGATAGCCTCCATGGATTATCAAAAGTTGCTTGTCTTAGTTCGTAACCTCTCTAGTGCAGTCTTCAAAAATTTAGAATCCTAGAAAAGCCTATTTTTCTTCATTTTATTCTCAGAAAAATC